GCTTGCACAGTGGATAGCAGCGGAGAGATTCCCCCTGCTGAGCAAGTGGACCTGCTAAACGGGTCCGCCCCTAACAACCATGACTCTTCTGCTCTCAGTGAGACTCTGTCAGCAGAATGTAAAAAAAATGCAAATTTAAAGAAAAGAAAATTCAATCCATACCAAGCACTTTGGGTCAGTTATGGATTCTGAGGGAAACCCCATGCCAAAATAATAATAAAAAATAGCTTGTGGCCCCCCTAAATTCCATACCTGACCCTTAGCCAAGCATGGCCAGGAAATGGGGGGGCAAACAAAAACCACACCAGGCCTGAACCATACCAGGCCACATGCCCTCAACATGAGGAAGGGTGCTTTGGGCAGGGCCCCCCAAAGCACCTTGTCTCCATGTTGAGAAACTCTTGCTCGGTGGTTGTGGGGTCTGCGGGTGGAGGGCTTATCGGGATTTGCAAATCCTGGCCCCTCCCATGTCAGTGAGTATGTGGTAGTTGTTTGAAAACAGATGGCTTCTCCTCTGTCACAATGCACTGATCAGTGCTGCAAATAATTGAACAAAAATGTTGCAAGAAGCTCATTCATGAGAAGTTGAACATTCGATAGACTCCTCATTAATGGAAACAGCCATAGATGGATCAAAATTCGGCCAGTCTTTACTGAACAAGCTGAATTTCATATCAGTATATGTTGAGGTGTGATGACTACAATCTTTTATATATCTAGTAAGGAAGCTAAGTTAGATAATTCAAAATCAGGCATATTTAGTCCACCATTTGTAGGGTGCTGCTGTAAAGTACGAAAATGTATAGCTGTTCTTCTCTTGCTCCAAATATCCAATATAAACTTTTGAGGTTGGAATGTTTTAAAACAATGAGAAGGAGGGGCCTCTAACATATATAAAAAAAAAGTTTGGGTTAGGTAAGCATTTTGATTAGACTGGCCCTACCTATATAAAATACAGTTGCAAGAAAAAGTATGTGAACCCCTTGGGATTACGTGGCGTTTTGCATGAATTGGGCATAAAATGTGCTCTGTACGTCATCTATGGCACAACCATGGTTTAATTGCACATAACATGAGGAAGGGTGCAGGGAGGAAAAAGCCTAGGGAGAGTAGCAACAGTGCTAAACTTTCTCCATTTGTAGACAGTCTGTCTTACCATGGACACATGAACATCAAGGATTTTGGAGATACTTTTGTAACCCTTTCCAGCTTCATGTAAGTCAACAATTCTTGATCGTAGGTTTTCTGAGAGCTCTTTTCTGCGAGGCATGGTTCACATCAGACAGTGCTTCTTGAAACCAGTAAACCCAAAACAGGTGTGTGTGTTTTTTATGGGCAGGACAGCTGTCAGCAACACATCCAATATCATCACACTGATTGGAGTCAAGGTTGGCTCACTCCTGGCTCCAATTAGCTCTGGGAGAAGTCATTAAGCTAGGGCCTTACATACTTTTTCCTCCCTGCACTGTGAATGTTTACATGTTATGTGCAATTAAACCATGGCAACATCTAATGTTTGTGTAGTATTATGTTCAGCAGACTGTGTTCTTCTATTGTTGTGACGTAGATGACGTTCAGAGCACATTTTATGCCCAATTCATGCAAAACTCCACGTAATCCCAAGGGGTCACATACTTTTTCTTGCAACTGTATATTAAAATGGCACCAAACAGTAAGAGTTTTATATTGAGTGAGTCCAACAAGGGAGTGATGTTATATGGATAAATATTACTAGGGTTCTTTGGTATAAAGAGACCCAAATATGCAAATTTTTCTTCACATCGTATAAAAGAATAATGCTTATTCAATGGGGAAGCTGTGCATTAGGTCAAGTAAAGCACTTTGGCTTTATCTAGGTAACCCAAGATTTGGCCAACATTATTGATCAACGACAGAATGCTGGGGAATGATTGTTCTGCATGGGATATGTATAACGGCAGGTAATACGCAAAATCTACCAACTTTATAAACATACAGATATACAGTACCTTGAAAGACGAGTAGAGACTCTTAAGAATTGTAGAAAGAGACTAACGCTAGGTTGAATAAGATGGGAAAGAGAGGGTAACCTTGTTTATTGCCTTGGGATATTGGTATGGGGGAAGACTATCAAAGGATAAGTAAAGAAAAAAAATAACGAAAAAACAACAAATGCACATATTTTTGCAGTAAAAAAATGTGCATGTATTATTTTTTTCAATGAAGCCCGCAGGGCATTGCAGTCATTATCAGTGCATTATGGGTGCAATGCCATTCTCCTGCAGACACGTCCTCTAGCTTTCTTGCCCATACTCCTGTATGGGCTTTTTTGTTTGAGAGCTAGAGGAAGTGTCATTTGACTACAAGGGCTTATCAGCACCCTCACAATCCATTGAAAACTAAAGGCCACCTGCCATGAGAGCAGTTTATTCATTCACAGATTCCTGTAAGTGAATGATGCAGCTCAGTGGGCAGAGCCCCACACAGTCATGCTGATATTAAAATGTGACAGCAGCTGTGGGGAAAAGAACCCCTGCCCATTGTCACAGGGAAGGGGGGCTAGGAGAAGAGAGGGATCTGCATGAACATTTTAATTGTTACATTTTTAAAAGGTGATCATATCCTATAATTATAATTTGGTGAACGGATTGTGATATATAGTATCTGGATGAGATAACATGATTTAAAGCACTGTATTTTGTCAAATCCTTTTTGGCATCAAGACTTAATAGCATAGTGGGGAAGGAGATAGAGGGCAGCAGTTTTGGCAGGTCTATGGCCTCAATGCCACTGGGTATATCTTATGTAGAGTACTTGACTCAGTTGTTGGGAGGTCAGTAGCGTTGGAATATGAATTTGGACAAGATCAGCCTTAATTTTCACTAGGAGTTTATAATCTGAATTAAGTGGAGAGATGGGGAGGTAGGACTGTACAGTATGTACATGCACAGGATGTTTCTCGATTTACAAACTAGGGTGGTAGAAGCTTCATTAAAGTCAGGATATGCAGTGTTATGAGTAAGAATAGTGTTATAAAGGTCAGTGAGAACTGGGGACATTTCCATAGATAAGAGTTTGTAGAAATCAGTAGGAAATCCATCTGGTCCTGGGATTTGGTTCTAGGCAAAATACTTAATTGCCAATTATGCCTCCTCTACAATGATAGGCGAGTTAAGTTGTTACCTCTGCTCAAAAGTTAAATTAGCTAAGGGTGACTCATTCAATACATTTGGAGTTGGTTGGGAAGATTGAGCAGTGTCTTATATTATTGTTCAAAATTGGAGATGATGTAGCTCATTTGTGTGGTGCTTGCTTTGGTCCCTGGATCTGTTGGTTTTAGAACCATGGGATTTTCTTAGTTTGGCAAGATGAGGACCTTTGTTTCCCTATGTATAGAATTTATTGTTGGTATATAGTAACTGTTTGTTGTGTTTGAATGGCCACAAAAGCATAAAAAAAAGGCCACTGTCTCCTGCCACTGCTTTTTTTGGACCAAGGTATACTTTTGAGTACGTGCTGTCTGTATGTTTTGGGGACCTCAGCCTGCAAACTGGAATGTTTTATGCAAATGTCCTTCTTGATGTTTGTAGTGTAGGCCATAACATGGCCCCTAAGAAGAGGATGAGCATGTCATGATGAAGTATATTGTCATCTAGATAGTTAGCCCAATAAAAATGGGGAGAATGTTTAAAATGTTGAGATTTATCATGGTGTGAGGGGAAATTCTAGGAGTAGGATTTGATTATAGAGTGTTTATGGGCAAGGGGATATAAAAGTGGTCAGAAAGGGAAAATGAGCCAACAGTGGTCCTAATAATTGTAGGAAATAAAGAGTCAGCTATAAAGAAATTGTCTAGTCTGGAGAAAGTCGCATGAGCATCAGAATAACATGTGTAGTCTAGTTCACTGGGTGTGCAACAATCTCCAGACATTGTCCAAGGTTAGTTTAACTAGGAGGCATCAAAAGTTCTCATTAGAGTCATCTTGTGTGGTGCTAAGGAATGATCAATTGAGAGGTCGGTCACAGCACTGATATCTCCAGCTGTCAACAAATTAGAATATGCTTTAGTTGAAGCATTTGAGTAAGATGGACAAACAGGGGAGTGTGTTAGGCACAAATTTTCATATATTTCAAAGAGAAACAATTTCTCATCCAATTCAAGCAAGATGTATCTACTTTCAGGATCTTGGTTTAATAAGAGATAGCTATTGTGTCACTGATTATCCTTTTAACCGTTTTCTTTTACTGTTTCCTTTTTTTTAATCTTTTGTGTGCACTAAGTACCTTGGGCATACCTTGTATACCTTGTGCTTTCCCTGCTGTGTCACAATGTGTTAATGTGTTTCTTATAAATATAATGTAACAATCATGTTACATTGTATTTTGCTGTAGTTTTTACAATCAGTTTAAGGGCTTTTCACAGTAAATAGCTTTCTAAAACACTGGATTCACGTCTGTATGACACAGTAAGGTAATCTTACACTTCAATAATGTACAATACACCATGAAGTGCCTTGACGATCATTTTGAGCAGCACCCCAATGCACAGAATGCGAACCATGCTTGAAACTCTACACTCCCCCCCCAGTCCTTACAAGTTCAGTTTTTTTTTGTTGATAATTGTTGCAATATTGATATGCATGTATATAAGTGAATCAACAGATTTTCTAAGGTACCAAGAGTGCATTAAAATGGTGGTTTCTGTACACTGTCTTTTCTGATCTCAACCATTTTTTCATACAAATTGTTGACCTTTGTCCGGTCACATAAAATTAAACACATAAATTATGCAGCTGAAAAACAAGTACAGAGCTTTGAACATACAAACATAAGAAGAGACAGTCATCAAAGATGCACCATTTTAAAACACTCATGCCTAAAAAAGTAATCTTTAGAAAGCATAATAAGCTTTTTTGCCACACTCTTTCTAGGAAAAAAATCCCTTTGTGTTTTTTTTTAAGTCTAGTCACTATGATTTATTATTGCTTATACATCTCTGTTTTCTTTTGCCACTTATTCAGTGTGAAATTTATCAACAAGATACAGTATGTGCATAGCCTAGAAGAACTGGAGCAAATTATCCCTATGGAAAATGTACATATTCCTGAATGCGTATTTCAGTAAGTTAAAATCATGCTATGATTATAAAAGTGGGCCCTAGATGGTCAATTTGTAATGGTGTTGTCTAGTGAATTGTAAATGCCATTAGTTATGTGACTTAGATATTACAAGACTTCTAAAACTTGAAAAACAACAAAGCAACACTGTAGTTGCACTTCATTTATTACCACTTGCCATCCAGTGGATTTACCCCCATCCCCCCCTTCCTAACCAGGCCATTTTTTGCGATACAGCGCTGCATTACTTTAACTGACAATTGCGTGGTCATGCAATGCTGCACCCAAAATAAATTTCTGTCCTTTTTCCCCACAAATAGAGCTTTCTTTTGGTGGTATTTTATCACCTCTGCATTTTCTATTTTTTGCACTATAAACAAAAAAAGTCTGACATTTTTGAAAAAAAAAACGAATATTTTTGACTTTTTGCTATAAAACATATCCAGCAAAAAAAATTTAAAAAATCTAATTTCTTGATAAATTTAGGCCAAAATGTATTCTGCTACATGTCTTTGCTAAAAAAAAATCCCAATACATGTTATTGCATCTACAAATGGCGGTATACTGGAATTTTTTTTTTTTTACATACTAGTAATGGCGGTGATCAGCAACTTATAGTGGGACTATGGGACTGTGGTGGGCATTTTGACACTGGGTGGGAACTGACTAACTGCCACTGACATCCCAATGACACTAATACAGTGATCAGTGCTAATAAAAAGCACTGACACTGTACTAATGACAATGGCAGGAAGGGATTAACATCTGGAGCGATCAAGGGTTAACTGTGTACTGTTTTACATAATGTGCTGTATGTGTTTAACTTGGGATACATGTTGCTGTGCAGAGAAATACACAGCAGCATGTTCTTGCTGGCAGGAGAGAGACCTGTGTTGTTTACACACAGGTCTCTCCCCTGTCAGTTATACTTGGCGAGGAATCTCCAGCCGGGCACCAGTGATTGACATCTGTAGCCACCAATGGCGGGCCCCCTACCTGGAAATGCACATCACGTATATATAAGTGACTTTACACAGCCCTGCTGCCCTATAGCAGTATTTCTCCTATAGGGCGGGGGGAAAGTGGTTAAGCCAAATGAAAATACATTTTAATAGGTAAAAATTCACATGTGAATATGTTCCAGTCCTTTAGTAAACCAACCCCTAAGTCATCAGTGCAAAGAGCAATACATTAGAAATTAAATACTATACTATACTGTTAATGCTACAAACTACATTACTCAAAGCCCATCCAATGTGGTCTCAGACAGCCAATTGGAGAAAGCAGGATGCACATCTAGAGGTGTCTGTTCTGCAGCCATACTTACAGTATGTGGAATCTCCATTAATTGCATGAGTGCATTGCAGCACTGAAAACATTATAGCCCAACTCCAGGCAAGTAAAAAATTATTTATTTACCTGATATTTTGCTTCTGTCTGCTGCTAGACAGGTTCCAGCAGCTTCTCCCCCATGCTTCAGAGGTCTAGGGTCCTGATGTCATCAAGACCAAAGCAGGGCCCTTAACCCTGCATTGGACATGATGACACCGCAGGACAGTCCAGAGAGTGTGGCAGTGTGCCACCTTCCAGGAAGCTGAGGATCAGGTAAGTAAAATTGTTTCTCCTCTCCCCTAGGTAAAAAGAACTATTAATCCTTTCAGTTCAGGTGCAGAGACATGAAACAAGTATTTGAAGTGACAAATTCTCTTCTTATTACGTACAGTATCTGCAATTGCAGTGCAAATGAAGACAAGTTAAAGTGTTACTAATCCCAGGACCCTGCATTTACTATATCTGGTCTCCCACAGTACACAGTAAGGAAGGGAAAAACTTTGTTGGGTCACAATATACAAGGGAGAGACAGGAAGGTGTTATCTTGAAATAGAAATTAGAGTGTATTATTTGAGAAACAAGAATTGTACAGTTTCTGGACAGTATGTAAGCAACCTGGTATGGTTGCAGTGTAAGAGAGAGAGAGACAAGGCTGAATAGTGCCATCAACAGTCCTCAAAGTGCTGTATGTTGGGCTACCTCTGCAACAGTGGCAGTAGATCAGCCATTTTACCCTTATATCAGAGATCTAACAGAGTAGCCACCAAATAGTGGTCTCTCTTTAATGTCACAATCCTGTAGTCTTTGCACCAGCATTTTAACACAAAGGTCCCCATTTTCCAAATAGCCTGAAATAGAAAAACCTACTAGGGTTTGAGAGTTGTGAACTATCTTCTTGAAGACCATTTCTACTCACTGCCAGCACACCAACCCTCCTTCCTCTCATATTCCTTCTATGCCTTTTTGCTTCCTGTGCCTCACAAGGGTAGAGGCAAGAGGCATAGGATTTTGCTGAGTGTGAGATAGCGAAGTGTTCCACTCCCCCCTGATGTTGTGCCTCCAGTGCCAGGTCTATCAAGCCACTGTGTGTGTTCCAGGAGGAACATGCAAGGGATTTTATCACCAATCCACTCGTTGTGGCCCACCATTATCTTTGCCTCTTTAAAAAGTGACAAAAATACTGCACATATACTGAAAGGTGAACCGCTTGCATGGTGAAAAGAACCCCAGCTTCCTAGAGTCTATTCAGATGGCACACTGGTAGAAGTGCAGGAGCGGACTGGCAGATGACATACTGGCAGAGGTGCAGGAGCGGACTGGCAGATGGCATGCTGGCAGAAGTGCAGGAGTCGGATACTGGCAAGGATCAGCTAGTTCAGGTGTAGGAGGCAGACTAAAGCAAGGTCAGACGGTCCAGGTCGGCAACTATCAGGCAGAGCAAGCATGAACAGTAGGCAGAAGAGTACTCAAAGGGCAGGCCAGGGGTCGGTACAGGCAGCATTCTAGCAGGGTCAATAACAGATCAGCAATGGAATTACTGGTAACAGGATGCACGGGTGCTCAAAAGTAATAGACCAAACGGCACTAATGCAAGGCACTAGCCTAGCTTAAATAGCCTGCCTGTGCGCAATCGCGCATGTGCATTTGCTAATCGGCCACGAGCAGTGCTAACAGGTGTTCTGCGCCTGCACATAGATATGTGCATTCCCTGACAATGAGATTCGTATATAGCTGCTAGGGATAGTATCATCAAAATAATGGAGATGTGAGCTGAGAGGGTTTGCATTGAGGGGAGGTGCAATAGTCAGAAATGACACTGCATTTACTGTGTAGTCACTTTGACATTCTAATTAGTATGCTTGTTTCTTGTCACTGACCAAGAAAATGATAAACCCCAACCAGGGGCGGACTGGGGGCCCCCAGGCAATAGGGGATCATGGAGCCCCTGTGTCCTTGCTCAAACTCAAAAAAGCCTATGAAAAAGGTACCAGGGGCATCTAATGGGGCCCCCTACTGACCCTGGGCCCTCGGGCCATGCCCGAGTTTCCAAATGGTCAGTCAGCCCCTGACCCCAACAGCCATGCAACAAGAATAATTTAAAAATGTAAAGCAATGTTAGCCCAGTATGTTTACGTACTGTTTATGGCCATGGTATACATTAGAGGGGCTATGTGTACAAAAAAAGTGTTCCCAGAGTAGTAAAGATTTGATACAATTAAAAATACCTCTCTTGAATTATGCATTTTTTTTTCTGTATGTTTTGTGCTATAGGTATGATGAAGAAAGAATCAAAGCAAAGAGAGAAAGGTATAATTTCCAATATATATATATATACATACCTGTTAGTAAGCATTAAGACAAACTTGAAAAACTTTTATCATTCAAAATTGTTTTGCATATATACATATATATATAATGTATACAAAAGTGCTTACATTGATAAACATCTGGATGCTAATAATCTATTAGTGATTTTCCTGGCTAGGTGTACATAAGGAGCTCACAGCTCAATGTCTATACTAATATGCACACTAGACCAATATCATGAGATACATTGAAGGAAGAGCAGGGGTGGGGCTTGCGTTACTTCAGGGCTGTCTGTGTGCATAAGCATCATATGGAAGTATGGCTATACTCAAAGACAGGAGCATGCACGCAAAGGTGGCTCCTAGGATTCTGCATGGTAGTGAAACCATCCTATAATACAGAAAAGAAAGAGGGCATATTATTATTGTTTCAGGTACTTATATAGCGCCGTCAATTTATGCAGCACTTTACATATATATTGGAAATGTCAGAAAAAACCTCCTGCGCTAAAATGGGGTCCAACCACTCAAGCTGCTGACACTAACCTCTTACCAATGTGAGTAAAGTGTATAAAAATGTATAAATAGTGCAGCGCTAAAATAAATGTGAATAAGTAAATAAATAATGTCTGTCCATCAGATGGATTTTGGAGTGTTGGTAGGACACTGATCACCTTTACACATTTAATATTCCTGTAGGGAATGCACGTGTTGCACTTTATAATAGTTTAACCCCTTTGTGCACTGGTTTTTTTTTTTTTGCATTTTTGCATTATTTTATTTATTCACATTTATTTTAGCGCTGCACTATTTATACATATTTATACATATATATTGTATATTCACATCAGTCCCTAACCCTCATGGGGTGTACAATCTAAGTTCCCTAACTCACATTCATACATACACATGCTAGGGCCAATTTAGACAGGAGCTAATTCACCTCCCAGCATGCCTTTAAAGTGTGGGAGGAAACCGGAGTACCCAGAGGAAACCCTTAAAAAGAACCACAGGCAAAACCTTTTATTCATTTTTGGAGGGAGGATTATAACCCCTGTCAGAATTGTATACTACATGTCTCCCATTTGGGGGGATTTTTCTCCACTTCCTGTCCCAAAGCCAAAACAGGTAATGAGAGGAATTCCTTGATAGATGTTCTCATCCCTTTCAACTCTAAACTAAAACTTAAAAAAAATTGTGTTTACTTATACTTTAATAATACTTTAATGTCTGAAATTGCTTGTGTCCCTGATTGACTTTGAAACTTTCTGATAAAGGGTTTATAATTACAGGCTTTCGTTAGCTTCAAACAGGTTTTGCAGTTTTATATATGGCAAAGCAAAACCCACCTGAAACAGGTCCAGTACAGTCAGAAGGTCAGAAGGTGGTCAATTGCAGGTCATATTCATCTGTCTATGAACCATGATTATAGCACTATTGAGGAACTTTTTATTATCAGTTTTTTACATGACAGTCAGATAAGGTCTGAATATCCACTCTATTTAGAGGTTTACATTTAATATATGTCAGAATTTACTGTATTCTACCTATCTATGGTCAATATGTAAAAATCATAAATTTATCTCCACATTGTATTTTAATTATTTCTGGGCTACTCAAATTACTATGAATGATCCTAAAATTTGTAAACTTAAACTGTGATGTTCCCCAAACATTTACTTCCTTGTATCTTGTGACACTTATTCACTATGCCATGTTGTGGCACCTCTCTGTCACAAATACAGAGCCTGCCTTCTGAACTACAGAAGTGCAAAGAGGAGGAGTTTCAGGAGGCGGAGTCAGTACAGGAATCACTGCTTGCAGGCAGCAAGGTACTATGGGATATGTAGTCCTTAGAAATAAACAGCGAAGAAGAAGATGCAAAGCATGCTGGGAATCCAGGAGGTTGTGGAAAGAGATGGCCAGCAGACAAGCAGCGCTTACAATATGTGAGACCTTAGTGAGATGGCAGTACTAATAAATATAAATGATATATGCTATAAATACTGCTCATGTGTAAAGATTACATGTGATTCACCCATACAGTGAAGGAAATAAGTATTTGATCCCCTGCTGATTTTGAATGTTTGCCCACTCACAAAGAAATGATCAGTCTAAAAATCGAATGGTAGGTATATTGTAACACTGAGAGACAGAATAGCAACAAAAAATTCAAAAGAAATGCATGTCTAACAAATTATGCACTGATTTTCATGTTTATGAGGGAAATAAGTATTTGATTCCCTTCACAAAACATGACTTAGTACTTGGTGACATCCCTTGTTGGCAATCACAGAGGTCAGACGTTTCTTGTAGTTGGCCACCAGGTTTGCACACATCTCAGGAGGGATTTTGGCCCACTCCTCTTGGCAGATCCTCTCCAAGTCATTAAGGTTTGGTGGCTGATGTTTGTCAACTCGAACTTTCAGCTCCCTCCACAGATTTTCAATCGGACCACTCCAGGACCTTAACCTCCCTGGCGGTATGATTCCTTCCGATTTTTTGTGCTGAAAGCGGTACCATTTTTTCGCATGGAAATAGTTTTTTTTATTGTAGGCTGTAATTTTTAGGAAAATTTCCCCACAAATCATTATCACTCAATTCTGTAAGTGGTTCTGATTTACTATCGCTGTTCTCTAGCCGGTCTAAAACCGCTTTTGACGTAAAGGGACGCTTTTTGGACGCCATGGACTTTTCTAAGTTTCCAGGCAGAAAGAACAGACAAAATGCAGGCAGGGCACAGGACAAAGCACTAGGGACAGTATGTATGTGAAATGGGATGAAACAGCAATGTTTTACTATTTAAAATTGAAAAAAAAAAAAAAAGACATTTTTTAAATTTTTTAAATTTCCCGCCGCCGGCGGCGCCCGTACGTCCCGACGTCACGGGGACCGGAACACAGAAGCCGGATGCCGGCATCGGCCGGAGGAGATGGCCGGGGACGCTGCAGGGGACACATCGTGGGAACGAAGGACAAGGTAAGTGCTGCAGGGACCCCCAGAGCAGCGCCGCATGGTAAGCCCGAGTGTAGCTCGGGGTTACCGCTTTGTGGTATAGAAATTCTACCCCGAGCTACACTCGGGAAAAAACCGCCAGGGAGATTAATGTGCTTCTTCTTGAGCCACTCCTTTGTTGCATTGGCTGTCTATTTTGGGTCATTGTCATTCTGGAACACCCATCCACGACCCATTTTCAATGCCCTGGCTGAGGGAAGAAGGTTCTCACCCAAGATTTGACGGTACATTGCCCTGTCCATCGTCCCTTTGATGCGGTGCAGGGACAGGACATGTCCCCTTAGCAGAAAAACATCCCCAAAGCAGAATGTTTCCACCACCATGTTTGACAGTTGGGATGGTGTTCTTGGGGTTCTTGGCAGCATTCCTCCTCTTCCAAACACACAGCGAATTGAGTTGATGCCAAAGAGCTAGATTTTGGTCTCATCTGACCACAACACTTTCAACCAGTCCTCCTCTGCATCATTCAGATGTTCAGTGGCAAACTTCAAACAGGCCTGGACATGTGCTTTCTTGAGCAGAGGGACCTTGTGGGCACTGCAAGATTTCAATCCTTGTCAGCGTAGTGTGTTACCAATTGTTTTCTTGGTGACTGTGGTCCCATCTGCCTGGAGATCATTGACAAGATCCTCACGTGTAGTTCTGGGATGATTCCTTGCTGTTCTCATGATCATTGACACTCCACGAGGTGAGATATTGCATGGTGCACCAGACCTAGGGAGACTGACAGTTGTTTTGTGTTTCTTCCATTTGCGAATGATTGCACCAACTATTGTCACCTTTTCACCAAGCTGCTTGGTGATAGTTTGGTAGCCCAGTCCAGCCTTGCCATGGTGGAGACTTTGGAATCTGATTGTTTGATTGCTTTTGTGGACAGGTGTCTTTTATACAGGTAACAAAATGAGATTAGCAGCACTCCCTTTAAGAGACTGCTTCTAATCTCAGCTTGTTACCTGTATGAAAGACAGCTGGTAGCCAGAAATCCTGCTGAATGATAGGGGATCAAATACTTATTTCCCTCATGAACATGCAATTCAGTGCATAATTTGTTAGACATGCATTTCTTTTGAATTTTTTGTTGCTATTCTGCCTCTCAGTGTTACAATACACCTACCATTCAATTTTTAGACTGATCATTTCTTTGTTAGTGGGCAAACATTCAAATCAAATCAGCAGGGGATCAAATACTTATTTCCTTCACTGTATACTGTTAACTGTTTTCCCCTTTCACACCTGCTCACCCAGAGCAATTTTTACATTTCTGCTATGGAGCTGTTTATTCAGCAATGGCTTTGTCATTACTAAAAATAATAAGGTAATACATATATATTTTTAAGGACAAACAAGGCTTTCTTTTCATGATATTGTCTTGCAACAGTTTTTGTTTTCGCAATCCTTAGATGATAAAACGCAACCAAACTAAACAAAATGCACTCTTTCCTTTACTTGAGCAGTGTTAGTTTAAAAATAAATAGTGTTACTGCACATAAAATGTGCGCATTTTATTCTGTAATTTGTCCTGTTTAAAATGACACTAAAATTATGATTCTGGTACAAAGCATTGCAATGTTATTTACAAATGAAATAAACTTTTTTTTTTACTTGTCAGTTTGCTTTAACTGACATTATTTGCAGGTCTGAGATCATCCTTTTGATTTGCAGATGAATAAACAGAAAGATACAAATATAACAGTACTGTATGTTACATCATATCATTCTATAATCATGGTCTGAGCAGTGACTAGTTACACACATCCTGTGTACAATGATTCAATTTTTTTGTGGCATGTGTAGCATGCCCAGAATCTGCAACTAGTTTAAGATCACACACATCAGAATGCTATTTGACCTGCTTGCTTATATAAGAGGTCAAAAGTATCTGGTGAGTACGGATACTGGGGTCACCCAGGGATCGCATTAACACCACAAATGTGAGGTGTGGCAAAAATCTTGTTTTTGCGGTGGAGCTTGCACAGATTTCCTTTGTTTTCTGGACTTTGCACTAGCACAGCACTATTGGACGTAGACGTTTATTATATAGCACTATATGTGTTTGAAATGATGATTTGTGTGCAGTTTTTTACTTTGCATTTATGATGATAAGTGTGATCTTTTCACAATATATGCGTAATCACTTGTCATTTTGCACATTAACGTTCACAGATTATTTATATATTTCACAGTATTTAGAGCACATATAATTTATATTTATTAGCGCTGCAATCTCACTCAGGGTTCACTATTGTGATACTTAGGCGTTTCACAGCAGTTTCTTTTAAATACATACACGTTTTCTGAGGGAGCGCAGGAGATTGTTTTAATATTTTTAGAATTCACATGAAAGATTGGGATTTTTTAAAGTAACCTTATATTGGATTGTCAAAATAACTATTGTCTTTACTGCTCCTAAAATGCTGATGTTATAAAGTGAAATTGTATGCTGTGACCATAAACTTGCTTTAAGTGATTTGCTCTCTAACTGATCAATGTCAGTATTTACATTTCTTTCTAATTTTTAAAATCAAATTAAGCAACCCTCCTGCCACACTCATTATATGAAAAAAAAACAATTTTTTTACTCTGTAGTGTTCGTGTTGAAAAAGAGTCAGGAGAAGCAGAAAACTTCCCAATGTACCATGCGACTGCTACCAAGTATGTATCTTTACTATTGTTATAATGTGTATGGACCTGTTTTTTGGAAATTAGAATAAACTGAAGTATTTTTAGAAGATTTGAAATATGCAGATGTATCTAAACGTATGATTTAAAAATAGTGCTATATTAATTTCATTGTGTGCTACAGAATACTCAGTTCTGTAACTGCAATGGTTTGCAGGAATCAATGAAGGTTTCAAGACAATTGTGCATTAAATTACATTTTAATTAGTTTTTATCTTTCCAAAGAAAAATATCTCACTCTTCACAATCACACCTTATTCATGTCGTCAGTTTTCAGCAGCACCCATATTTGTGAGCCATTATTGTTAAGAATAAAGCACTCAAAGGGCAAAATTAGAACCAAAATATCTAATGAGCACCTTGAGAATTAATTGAGAATTGCTACTACATCCATGAAAAACAGTGTCAAAGATTGCACTCCAGAGGCGTCCCTAGGATTGGTGTCACCTGGTGCAGAAACATGTGGTGTCACCCCTCCAGAGAGGAAGTAGTGGTGCCGGTGTAGCGGTAAAATGAGTATCCCGACCCGTGAAGATATGTATCCCCTGAAGCAAGTGCGCATGTGCCGGTTTCAGGCTGAAGAAGCCGATCTCCAACTTTAGCACAGAGCTGCCACAGTTAAGCCCTTACAGGCTGCAAACCGCTGAAGCTGATCCGGCAGATCACTATGGGTTGCAAGATCAGTTAACTCCTTATAGGTTGAATCTATACAGGGTTAACTGATCTTGCAACCCATTGTCATCTGCGTGATCAGCTTCAGCGGTTTGCAGCCTGTAAGGGGTTAACTGTGGCAGCTCTGTGCTAAAGTCGGAGATTGGCGATCAGCTTCTTTGGCCTGAAACTGGCACATGCGCACTTTCTTCAGGGGATACATATCTACACGGGTCGGGGATACTCATTTTACCGGTACACCGGGGGCAGCTGTCACTGTGCCGGGAATCTGGGATCACCCCAATAACTGGCCAGGACCTTCACAGAGCCCAGAAGCTCTGCTGGCATCCTGCTCCTGCACCCCCTGTGATGGTGTCACCCGGTGCGGCCCGCACCCCCCTAGGGATGCCACTGTCGCACTCAGATTCATTATCTATATCAGTGATCATTCACTTGTGATCTGCCAGACTTTTTCTGCTCATCAGCTATCCTTATTGTTAGTGCATTTTATGTGTGGCCCAAGACAATTCCTCTTCCAATGTGGCCCAGGACAGTGAAAAGGTTGGACACCCCTGATTTAAAGCAATAACTGATTTTAATTTTTTATTTTTTATTGTGTTCCAGGGCAGAAGAAAGGGAAGAAAATGTTGAAACAACAAGGTATTGACATTATTTACAAGAATAAAAAGTAAGCTCTATGCACCCTGTGCACATGGATTGTTTTCAAAAGATACTAATACAGTTAGATTGACACCATTAGTGCAGTTTATTTTGCTTGCCAAGCAAAGAACATTTGTTCATATAAAGTGGTTGTAAACCCTTACATATACCCACTCAAGTGACTTGCCTCAGGTGATACACAGATGAAACAAAACCTCCTACATAACTTGTACCTGTTTATCTGCAGCCCTCTCTCCTGTACAGCTTTCTAAAACCCAGGGCGAAGGATTTTTCTCAGCTCCAGGAGGCAGGGGCAGGAATCTGCCATCACACATTGCACAGAATAGGGGGGGGAGCTCAGTGTAATCTGAGACATGAGTGGAGGGTAAAGACACACCTCCATCTACAAAGTCTCTTGGGAAAACATGCACAGCTGAGGCTGTCAATCACTTGCTGTGTGCTAGAGGGGGATGGGAGACATCTCCCGAGATTGTCTGCCTGGTGTTGACATAACCAATTAGAAGTGACTTATGCAGATAGCAGAGGAATGAGACAGTAGAGAGAAATGACATGCAGTGCTTTATATTGAGGAAAGTACACACTATACAGTAGAAGGATGTAGAAGGAAATGCTTTGTTCACTTTTCATTTCAAAGGTTTACTACCACTTTAAAGCAGAACTTCACACAGTCAATCAACATTGACTATTTTGTATCCTTGTGCTGCTAGCATTAGTAAATAGATAGGAAATTATACCATATTTACTTATTTTAACCACTTGCCCTCCTGAGGATTTACAACTTTCCTGACCAGGCCATTTTTTGCGTTACAGCGCTGTGTTATTTTAACTGACAATTGCGCGATCACAATGTTGCACCCAAATTAAATTTACGTCCTTTTTTTTCCCATGAATTGAACATTCTTACGGTGGTATTTGATCACCTGTGCGTTTATTTTTTGCACTATATATTTTGAGAAAAAAACAATATTTTGGACTTTTTGCTATTATACATGTCCAGTACAAAAATTTAAAAAATTACATTTTGTCATAAATTTAGGCCAAAATGTATTCTGCTCCAAGTCTTTGCTAAAAGAAATCCCAATACGTGTAAATTATTTGGTTTATGCGAAAGTTATAGCGTTTACAAATGGTGGTATAGATACTGGGATTTTTTTTTCTAGTAATGGCGGTGATCAGTGACTTTTAGCGGGACTGCGGTGAACATTCTGACACTGGGGGAGAACTAACTTGGTGTCACATCCCCAGTGACACCAATAGAGTGATAAGTGCTAAAAAAAAGCACTGTACTAATGGCACTGGGCTGGAAAGGGTTAATGTGAGGGGCAATCAAAGGGTTAACTATGTGCTGGGAGTGTTTTACTAGGGGGCGGGGGGTGTGTCCTTTACTGTAAGCACCCTGATCGGGATGGCTGTGTGTGCTCGAGCTGACAGGGAGGAAGACTGTTTGTTCCCCATGACTGATTGGGTAATTACCAGCCGGGACCTGGAGATTGACATCTGCAGCCGTGAATGGCAGCACGGTCCGCGCGCACCCCCTACCCGTAAGTGCAAAATCATTTAAATATATGTGATTTTGCGCACAGATGCCGCCCTGTAGCAGTATATTGTTTATACGGCGGTCCTTAATCGGTACATTCCTTTAGTTTCTGCCTGGCTTCCATGCTTAGGCAAACAATGCAATACATCCCAGGAGTCTTCAGGAGGGGAGGAGGGGTTTTCTCAACTAAGCGCACCCTCCTGTCTGCATGCCTGAGCTAAGGGCAGATGGATTCCAGGAAGTAAATGCTACATCAATCATCTGACCACAACTGCTTTGGGTTGTTGTTCTAAGTGATTTCCCAGCAAAAAAAAGCATTGAGACATGGATGGATGGGGGAGTTTGCTTTGAATATTTAAAATGAATTAAATAGCGCTTTTGGGTTGCGGTGCTCAGATAGTGTACATTGTAGTTCCGCTTTAATGTTAAACCTGATGATTAATTTAAGTATTTTTCTATTCCAGCTTTCCACAATCTGATGATTTCGTTTGTAAATGAATCCTTCCAAAGACTTCAATACAACTTCTCAGCATGAAATAAACCTTTGTTAAAGATTCCTGCTGCATCTTCCAGTCTGAATCTCCATTTTAAAGGCAACACTGAGCCTTAAACCTTTTTATTGTCCAAGATCTTCCTTCGGTTCATTGTTTGTTCTGTGAATAATTTGCTCCCATCATTCAATGACATCATCATTTCTCTCTTCATGGGTAAAAAAAGAAATGGTGTACTTGGTCTGACTGGTAGAGGATCTTTCTTGTAAAAGACACTTACAAATACTTACGCAATCTAGGTAAAAAGCTAGTGAAGGATAAAGAGTATAACAACATCATATTACCATTAGAACTACTGAAGAGATAAAAAAACATGAAACTGATTATTAAAAACCTTTCGATCATCATGATTAATTTTAGAGTGGAAACATAATCCAGGCCTTTTCAGTTATTTCAAAATTGAAATTATCTTAATTATCAAAATCCCAACAAGGCAATAGCCTACAGGAAAGATGATCTAATCCCACACTTCTGACAAAAAAGAAGGGATAAAATAAGATGTAAGTTTGTTCTGAACTCAAGACAGGCTACAATGAAGGAAGTAGTGTGAGCAGAGCAAACAGGAGTGAAAAGCAAAGTAGACTACATAGACCAAGCTACAAGGGTAACTTAGGGCAATGCTATGCACAGAAAAGCTTAATTATGGGTTAATGCAAGGTTCGGGTAACTTAACACTGCTTACAGCAATACTGGATGATGAGATACAGGATTCAGCATGATATATACAAAATGCAGGAGATGCAAGATTTAGGATGCAAAATGTTAGGATGCACGCAACAGAACACCAGGAAAGAGAATTCAACATACAAACTATTATGATAAAGGTACTGCGTACTGCTAAGGCACCTGAATGAGGGAGAGGATGGCTAATTAGGCATGTAATAGGTTGCAGGGAGACGCATGCTGGTAAGCAGCGAAAGCAGGAAAAAAATAATTTAAGACTAAAAACCACATTACAACTAAGCTGTACAGTATATCATAGAGTGCAGTTTCCCTTTATAAAAGGTGGGTTTAGGATTATGTTACAACGCTCTTGTCCAATAATACAAACAGAGCATTAAAAATTGTGGCAATGCAAGCACAAATATCTAAATGCAGTACAATACAAGAATTAGTAAGGGATCAGTCTACCCAACACGTACACCGTGGTTTGGATGGAAGCTGGCACACTATAATATTTGGAAGACTCCACTGTTTACCACAGCATTACAATATCTGACTTGTCCATAAGGAGCTGTGGTGCCACTTGGATCCCCGCAAGAATTAATATATTCCTATGAAGGAGCCACTAGAGGGTAAGTTACAGGTTCTGGAGGGATTAAGAAGCTGGTGCGTGTGACTGAAACCACTGAAATCCCACCATAAAATTAAGACATTAGTTCTACATGTGAAATTCAGGTATGTGCATGTAAATGTCTGCCTGTCTATGCACAAGACTGGCAACATTATTCCTTTATTCCTTTCTACTTTCTTTCCTGCAGCATGTTGCAGTTTTGATCCCACTAGTTCAGATTTTTTGTACAGTAAAGATAATAAAAAAAAACAGGTGTTATATCTCATTGAGTGTTCATTTACAATTAGTTTTTAATTATTTTTTCAAGTTTGTGCAATGATGAGTAAAAATGCAGCTATAAAAATATTTTTAAAACCACAGAAAAAGGATAAAATTATTAGCTTTGTTTGAAAATGCTGAAAAAAATAATTAAAAAATGTTTTTTGAATTACATTTTTATCCCTGCTTATTTCAGAATAAAAATGGATTGTGTGCATTGAGTTCCATATTTGCTTAAAGGAGAAGTTTGGGGGAAAAAAATAAACCTAATAATAACCTATATGGCTCTAACAAAATACAGGCAGCCACCCCCTGCAATAGAAGAAGCATCAGACCAATGCTGCAGCTGTCCCCCAACAGGTCTAAACTCAAGAACTGAGCAAGCATGTGACCAATGATCGCTCAATTCTTGGGTCAGAGCAGTCACCACTCTGTGCTCTGCCCCTCCAGTGTTTACTGGAGCACTGGGCAGGAGAAGGAGGGGAAGCAACTGGCTCAGGCTCTCCTATAAGGTATCTGGGTGGATCCTGACAGTATTGTTGGGATCCTTCCTGAGTCTGGAGCTGCTCTGTGATGTCAGCCAACAGTGGGCTTTAGCTTGCTGTTTGCTGATTCTGGGTCACAGAAAAGCAAGTAAGTGCACTCCTGTGATCCTCAAGAGAAGTATGGCCAAAAAAATGTTTTGGCCTTACTTCTCTTTTAAAACAATTTTGTTGCTTCTCTAAGGAAATTAAGGCACTCCATGTAGTAGAAGATGAATACTTATCAGCAGGTGGCAAGTTAAATATTTGCTGATTTGTTTAAGCTCTGGGCCCTGCTGCTATCCAGCATTTCAGGTATGTCAATGTGTTTCCCACTGAGTGCTGTAGCTGCTCTTGCTGGCCACTGTGTCCTGTAGCGATATAGTGACCTGAGGACAGAACCATGCTATTTGGCACACCCAGAAGTGTCTGATAGCAGTGGTACCAATGAAGACAGTCACAATTTCAATAGAAATATTTAGGTTCTTCTATTGCAGGGAGTGGCTGTCTGTATTTTGTTAGTTGAGTGATAGAGAAATTGTCATTTTTTTTTATGGCTCGCTACCTTTCACACTGATCCGCTGTAAAAACACAGCAAATCCGCATATGCGGTTTTGCTGCACTTTCTGAACGTTTTTAAAGGACACATGACTTAACAACTGCACCGAAAACGCCTCTCAGAGGTGTTTTTTCCGCGCTTTTCAGGCGTTTTCCATTGATTTCAATGGAAAGAGGGTGTTTTTGGGCCGTTTTTTTTAACCGAACAAACATGCTCCAAAGATGCTGCAAGCAGGAGTTTTTACACCGCAGCGGAAGTGCAACACCCCAGAAAACATACATAGACATACATAAACATACATAGGGAAACATTTTTTTGAATTTTTCAGGAGCTTTTTTGAACGCAAAAGCACTTCAAAAACTGTGAAAGTAGCTTAATACATAAGGTAGAGGGGGGGATATTTTGCACTCAACTGACACTCAACACTGCATGAATGTTTTTACCCTTGCTTTTACTCCTTTTAGCTGTGCCACAATCCTTTCTGTTTAGTAAACTGGTTTTAACTAGTTCCCGAGTCTATATATATATATATATATATATATATATATATATATATATATATATACACACACAGACACTATATTGCCAAAAGTATCGGGACGCCTGTGTTTACACGCACATGAGCTTTAATGGCATCCCAGTCTTAGTCCATATTCTTCCAGAAGCGCATTTGTGAGGTCAGATACTGATGTCGGATGAGAAGGCCTGGCTAGCAGTCTACACTATAATTCATCCCAAAGGTGTTCTATCAGGTTGAGGTCAGGACTTTGTGCAAGTTCCTCCACCCCAAACTTGCTCATCCATGTCTTTATGGACCTTGCTTTGTGCACTGTTGCGCAGTCATGTTGGAACAGGAAGGGGCCATCCCCAAACTCTTCCCACAAAGTTGGGAGCATGAAATTGTCCAAAATGTCGTGGTATGCTGAGGCCTTAAGAGGTACCTTCACTGGAACTAAGGGGCCAAGCCCAATGTCTGAAAAAAACAACCCCACACCATAGTCCCCCCTCCACCAAACTTTACACTTGGCACAGTGCAGTAAGTCAAGTACCGTTCTCCTGGCAACTGCCAAACCTAGACATGTCCATCAGATTGCCAGACAGAGAAGCGTGATTCGTCACTCCAGAGAACACCTGTCCACTGCTCCACTGTTGTTGTGCTAATCTGAAGGCCACGTGAAGTTTGGAGGTCTTTACAATGGACTCTTCAGACAGCTGGCGACTTTTGCACACTGTGCGCTTCAGCATGCGCTAACCCCGCTCTGTTATTTTACATGGCCTACCACTTCATGGCTGAGTTGCTGTTGTTCCCAGTTGCTTCCACTTTGTCATAATACCACTAACAGTTGACCGTGGAATATTTAGTAGCAAGGAAATTTCATGGATGGATTTATTGCACAGGTGGCGACCTATCACGGTACCACGCTTGAATTCACTGAGCTCCTGAGAGCGACCCATTCTTTCACAATTGTTTGTGGAAGTAGTCTGCATGCCTAGGTGCTTGATTTTATACACCTGTGGCCATGGAGGTGGTTGGAACACCTGAATCCAATGATTTGGAGGGGTGTCCCAATACATTTGGCAATATAGTATATTTATATATAGGTTGAGGACAAAGACAGGTTGAGCTCACCCAAGACTTTGAGACAGAGTGCCTGGGAAAAGAACACTGTTGCTTCCAGGAATTATGAATGAAATTACGGGCTGGACTTGAGTGATGCTGTATATATTTAATTTATCATCTGTAATACATCTTTAAACTAAGCTAAGTACATTTCTTTTATTATCATACTACTTTTGAGTTGTTTGAATTATTGCAGCACAACCACAAGATTGAAAGGGTAAACAGGAACCTGTTAACAAATAATAAGTAACAAAGTTTAACCCTTTATTCCATTGGCCACTCCTAATGAAGAAAGTAGGTAAACTGATGTGAAGTATGGTAGATAAAGGTGAACAGCCAGAGGGGGCAGGATTAAAAATATCAGAGGATTGGTGGAAATTGGAACACAAATATATGGGGACAGGCTAGTGCTGCTTCCCAGCCAGAGGACCTGCAAGGGTTGTGGGCAAACTCTTTATCTTATGAGAACAACCCCTAGATGAAACTCTGTGTATTCATCCATATTCAGTTTCCTCTAGTGATGGTCAAATAATTTTGTTTACTTGGGCTTGCAGGTGTACAGCAGGTAGTCGTATGTACTCTCCAGTGCTTCAGGAAGTGGACAGCCAAAGGGAAGCCAAGGGAACCAGGACAGAGATAACCAAAAGAAGATGCTTCAGGGGTGCAGCCCTCCTCAGACGGGAAGATCAGCTAC